ACACTTGTATAATTTGCCAACAGGAATATGTTTGTTTTTACGTGTGCGCGCGCGTGAATGTTTTGTGTATCTGCGCATATGCTACTGGACTAACAATATTCATTATAAACTCTTTCTCCTGACAAGTTGTTGACCTTAATCCAAAAGCAAACATGCATATTTCAGAATAGTGTCAAAGAAACAATGTCTTACCCCTTGTAAAGTGCTCTGATGCCTTCTGTACACGCAACCTGGCAAAGACACACCCATCATCCCAGTGAGAAAGGAGGGGGGAGAAAGAGGGGAAAAAAGGATAAATGAAATGGCAGATAAAATAATTAGTGATAGTATCTTTCGGCTTCAAATAAACTACTAATCTACATAATACATAATAACTATGAAACCAGTCAGACTTGCACATGGAAAAAAGTATCATAAACTTCATAGTTTGAAATGCACAAAACTTTTAGAAACAAGTCAATATGCTATTGTGTTTCAAACAAGAGAAAACTGGATACTAAAGTTCTCCAATGGAATGGTAAAAACAGTTAGATAAACCTCAGATAAAATCAAAAGTCAGTTTACACTCTTATCATAAATTGGCCCAAGTTCTATGAAAGAAAAGTAAGCAGTACAATAGAAAAAGCTTCAAAGATATGCATTGCTGAAAACATTTAGAAAGAATGCTAGCTTATTCCATATGCATATACGCCCCAACCACTGTCATGATAACACCTATACCTGATATGCAGAGTGAAATCCACTTTTGTAGCCTTTGCCTCTTTGCTGCAGCATAAGACGGGTTTTAACAATATCCACAGGTGCAGTTACAAGTGTCCCAACAGTTCCGGCAACGCCACTCGAGCTTCATGTAGGCATAAAAATAGTTATCAACGAATTTATACAGCATAAGAGATATTTCAACTAAGAATTTAGAAATTCCCTATACATGAGATGCAGATGAAAACCTTCTTCAAGAGGCGTCCACTTCAGCAAGGCCTGTATCAGAGAAAGGTGAAGTTCAGTCAGTAACTAACAAAAACATAGGGTAACTTTAAAAAAGAAAAGAAAAGAAAAGAAAAAGAAAAAGAAGAAGGAAGAGGAAGAGAGAGAGAGAGAGAGAGAGAGAGAGAGAGAACACCTCTATGGTATGTAGGAATAAAAGAAAATTCCCCTAGTGATTTAAAAGAAACATTTTAGCCTCATTTTAAATTTCTAGTCAAATAATCATCATTTTTTGCATGTAACCAATATTTTTTAACATAATAATTATATACTAGTAGTCCGATGCATCTGATGCGTGCATGGAACAAAATGTGGTGCAAGTAGTGCAGTTGAATTGTGGATATTTCTAGGTGTAAAGGCATCAACATTGATTTTTCCAAGTGTGAGGACATATACGTTGTTGATTTTTGTAAGGGTGAGGATGTTTATATTGATTTTTCCAAGTGTAATGGCTTTTCAGTTCTTTTTTTTTGGGGGCAAGGGTTAGGGTGTTTTAATTGATCTTTCAAAATGTGAAGGCATTTTCGGGATTTCTAAAATGTGACATACAGGGAGTATATTGAAAGGTGAGCTTTTCTTAAATATATAGAATCATAGATATAGATGTCTATATAAGAGTGCATATAATTGTCATATTCTATGATCATAGTTTTTGCCTCCAAATTGATTTTTAGAAATTGAAACAATGCGATCAAATTGTCGCTTTTGCAACCTTTGAGAAGTTTTCTGTCAATCAATGGAAACCTTAGGGGGATTTTCTATAATTCACCCAAAACGATATATTCATTGCAAAAATCGAATACATATCTATTAAACATTTGAAACATCAAAAAGTCATTTCTAAGTAACTTAAAACATAATTAAAAAAAAGAACTGATGCATCATTTGAACTAAACCTGCTTGGTTTCATCATATGTGGCTAATTGTGATGCGGTCAGAGTACTTGCTCTAGCCATTGCAGGGCCAACCCCTTTCCAGAATGATCCTATCCCATCTTTTGCTATCATTTGCTGAATCTCTCTGATAGGCCCCCTTCCAGAGTTCGAGTTCATTTGTAACCTTACCTATAGAAAATTACCACCCACAATGTAGGCATCAAGTATGTAACCCAAGACAACAAAGAAGTCAAATACAATAGAATTAAGGATTAATTGCAGGTAAACCCTCTGTGATATCGTGTTTTCACTAACTAGCCCTCTAGTTTTATTTTTGCAGATAGACCCCTCTGATTTTTAGACCCTTTTACCCTCAGGAGTCTATTTTCACAAAAAAAAAGAAACGATTAACTATATCGGTGAGGGTAAAAGAGTGTCACTAATTTTAATTTTTCGCTCAGGGGGTCTATCTGCAAAAGTAAAACTTGGGGGCAATAAGTTAAAAACAACATACTAGAAAGGATCTATCCGTAATTAACCCTAGAATACCTTCAAAACTTCTGTTGGATTGGTTAATGCAGTAGCAAAAGCACCAGAAAATGCACCAGATGCAATTTTCACAATGATATTAGTCGAATCAAACATCCAATCACATATATACTTGCAAGGTTCATATAAGCCTAAACGGAGACCTCCATAAAGAACAGACCTAGCTAGTGCTGGTGCAAGTCCAAGATATAGTGCCCCAGGCCCTTCAACTTTTACTAGCCGCACAAAAGTTTCTCCCTGTAGGTTTTGTAAATATCAGAAAAGATTTCTTACATCAAAATAGAGTAGTTAATTAGCTTGGCGATACCATTCCTATCAAAGGACCTCTCTGGCCAGCAAGTTGCATCTGAAGTCTAACTTTCAGAACATCTGCAAGTGAATTCACAAATTGTAAATGATATCTAAGAAGATTTTAAATAAATAATGCCAAAATAAATAAAGCGAACCAATGTATTTATCATGTCAACGTTTGACATTTGGATATTGGATCTGGTTTCAGATTGCCTTTTTTGTATCAGTTATCGGTTCAGGTTGTTTTGGAAATTTCAGTATGAAACAAAAACAATGGGGAATTTAATGGGTGGATTATCATTTTCACTTGTTTGTGTCTATCTCCAGAAGATCACAATGGCAACTCCTTGACTAGTACTACACTACTACTGTACAAGGCATTTGTCATTTGTCCGTAACTAGTTATTCATTTAATGAAGGTGGTGTTAGATGTTCCAGAATGCGTGGTTCCTCTGTCGCGCCCCGGGCCCATGAGCCCAGGGCGCGACGTAATTCCTTGTGCTCAAAGATCAAGGACAGAAGAAAATATGCTGGTAATGCGAACCTGATAATTATTTCCATTGTCACCATTTTGCCTTCAGTCTTTTTCGCTTGACCATGATTCTCTCACAAAGCTTGCTTGTCGTTGCATGAGCTTAATTTGAGGAACCACTATGCTAGATGTAATAGTCCCTTAACTGTCAAATTTCCCTTATCGAATGCTCCTTTGTTACATACACAACCTAAAGTCTTCCCTAACGATGAAATTCAAGTACATACACAACAGAAAATCCTAGCCAGAATCCGAAGTAGCGTACCGTGTGCAACCAGTGGCAACGTCACTCACCGAAATAAGCTCCCACACGATAAAATTGCGACAGAAAATGTACCCAACAGAATTCAATTTGATAAAAATCCTAATACTCTCAAACCTTATGAGTTTCTAACCATAAACAAACAAAATGCAGCAGTGGGAAGCTTCACTTTCTAATCAATAGGGTAATCTGCACACTTCTCCTAAAGCCCCATCCTGTCATCTGTGGATACAATCTTACATTTATCCTGATTCTCGAATCAATTCCTATACATCAATAGTGGAACAAGCCTAACAATTATAAAATAAAAAATTAACAAAAATTTAAAAATAAAAATAAAAGATTGTATCTTAAGGATTACAGAATACCAACAAACAAACATAGACTAAAAAAAACAAAAATTCTTATTTTACAGATTACCAAATGAATAAAAATCAAGAAAAATACCAACAAATTGAAAAAATGAGGGTAAGAAATTAGAGACCCAGAGGATGAGTGCAGGAGGTGGCAACAGCAACAGCCGCTCCGCTCGTCGAGAACTGGTAAATTGCGTACTTCACATCTTTCTCATTCACCCCTAAGAATTCATAATTGCATAGATAATAAAAAACCCAGAAAAAATTAAGGGGTGAAATGGAAAATAAACTACCTGATGATGCGGAGGTATTATTCTTGGTTTCTTCTTTCGTTGCGGCCATTATTACCTCCAACTGCTCATCCTTCTCCTTCTTCAATTGGAGGTTTTATTGTTGGTTTTTTTCCCTTTTCTTTTCTTTTTTGGGGTTTTTTAATTTGTTTTTTTTTTTGAGACGTTCGGACAGGAGAAGTTGGATCTCTTGCGTCACTAAAAACAGCCTAAATTATTTGCCTAATTTTGGGATTGGATCTTTTTGGAATTCTGCTGATTCTCTCTCTCTCTCTCTGTGTCATGGGCCAGAACTACTTTGTTTATTTTGGGCTTTTAATTGAGAAAATATTTATGTGGGCCTTCAGTTACACTAATCTTCTCATTTTTTGGCACAACCATGTAAGTTTCTCTAATGATAGTATTTATTACCATAAATTCTTAAGACCAAAGGGCTATTTGGTAGCTCACAACTGTAGTTGCATTATGATTTGTTGCTTATGTGCAGCTAAATCATAGTTGTGTGGACTTGTTATTGCATATAATGATATATTTAATTGTTTTGAGTAGGAAATGACACACTCAATTTTTTTTTTCCTGCTAGGCGATTAGCCATTATCGATGTAAGGCCAACATCTATGTTCAAGCAGATTGCTCTACCACAAAGGAGAATTTACGTTTGCATACGTTACATTATCGACTAGTGGACGCTAAATTGAACTTGTGGTGTGGTTCTTTTATAGAGTTTCCCAAGTTGCCCATTTTGTTAATTTAAAAATATTATAAATTGCAAGGGAGAGAAACCTCAAAAGTTTGTGAGTAAAAGGCCGGCTATCGAACTGCTTAAGCTACGAAAGAAGTTATGGAAATTCTCGCATTCAATCACTGAATATAGTTGAAATTGTTGGGGATTCGAAACAATCAATCGAACTATTGCCCTTACGGACCTTATGTTGAAAGTAGAAAAGTAGGAAATTCACCACAAATTTGATCAAAACTTGTAAAAGAGTAAATGAGATGAACACACCAGATTTAACGAGGTTCGGCAAACGTGCCTACGTCTTCGGGAGCCACACCACACAATTCTTTTATTAATTAAAGAAGAAATATAAGCTCTCAAACTAGGGTTTTATCTCTCTGAGATTCTCTCTCTTTTCTACAGTCAAAAAACTCTCTTTTTCGTGTTCTTTTAAGCCCTAAAAATGTTTAGGTATATATAGAGTCCTGGAAGAAACAGAATCCAAAACAAATAAGGAAACTAGCTGACTGCGTCGCGATCGACCGTGGCGGTCGATCGCGCAGGTATCGCGGTCGACCGTGACGGTCGACCGTATCAAACGACAGAGCCTAAAAATCCTACAGGGTATCCACGGTCGACCGCGGCGGTCGACCGAACCAAAAACCTGAGACCAAAATCCATTACAGAGATTTGTGCGATTGACCGCCTTCAGCTCCAGGCTCTAACCAGCTCTGTGCACGTTCGCGGTCGACCGTGCAGGCCTCCTTCTGTTTTCTCAATTTTTTCTTCGTCTTCTTGATTCCAGCTTCGGTTTTGACTTTGGGTCTATACTTTAGACTAACAATCTCCCACTTGGAGACCAAAGTGTCATCAGCGAGCTCACCCAAACTCTCCACTTCTTCGCATGTATCTTCTCCTCCCCGGAAAAACATTTCTTCAATCAACTATATCCCGGCGATCTCGTCGATCCTCGTAGTGTGGTTCCGTCTTTATCTTCTACTCGTGAAGGCCAACTGAAGTTGCGCACAACTCCAGTTTCTCAATGGTGACTGCTTTCGTCAACTTGTCCGCCGGATTTTGACTCCCCAAAATCTTCATCAAATGTAACTTTCCGTCTTCAACTAGCGAGCGTATAAAATGGTATTTTACGTTGATATGCTTCGTTCTGGCATGATATACTGGATTCTTGGCAAGATGTATAGCTCTCTGGCTATCATAATAAAGAACTCCTCTCCCTTGCTTCAGATCCAACTCTTCCAAACACCCATTTAACCAGATCATCTCCTTGCTAGCTTTAGTCACCGCGACATACTCAGCCTCGGTTGTAGACAAAATCACAATCTTCTGCAGACGTGAGACCCATCTCACTGCTGTCGATGCTAAGATATAAACATACCCCGTGGTGCTTCACTTCGTATCATGATCACTGGCGAAGTCCGCATCCACGTATCCCTGCAGCACCAACTCCTTCCTCCTGAAACATAGTAGCTTGTTCGTTTTTCCCCTCAAGTACTGCAATATCCTCTTCACCACCTCCCAATGCTGCTTCCCTGGATTGCTTGTAAACCAGCTCACAACTCCCACTGCATGGGTGATGTCCGGCCTTGTACAAATTATCACGTACATGAGACTCCCAATGGCTAAAGAATATGGTACCCTGCTCATATGCTCTTTATCTGTATCTGTCTTAGACGGTTGCTCCTCAGATAACTTGAACTGACTTCCAAGGGGCGTGCTAACTGTAGGCGTCTAAAAATACCTATGGGTGCCCGCACACAGCTCAAGACAAAGAGAAGGTGATGAACGTCGTTATCCGAATCAAAGAGGATCATCCAACGCCGACAAGCGCATGAAGCGAATCGGCAAACTGTTGATGACACGACAACGAACCATCACAAGGGCAAACGCCAAGTGGACCACACGCGTTAATCAACTCAAAGCGTACAAACGCGCCCAACAGTCAGTTAACACGCACGCATCATTCAGCTCGTGCATGTTAACCAATTCGTGCGCATCAATCAGTTCGCATGCGTCAATCAACATGCGTGCGTCAATCAACATGCGTTTGACGGTCAATTCTGCAACGAAGCGTACAAGTCAACAAGACGGTCAAACACGCAAAACGGTGGAAAACACAAGCCCTGAAAAGCCGGAAAACACCGAAGAACTCAACAAAGCAAAAAACCCCGCGTCCGCGCGGGTCGGACCGTGCCGACCCGCGGCCGCGCGGGTCGGACCGCGCTGACCCGCGCAAGCGCGGGTAAGACTTGTCCTGCGCGCACTGTTTTGACCCGGTTCGGTTTTTGATGGTTTTTCTCGAGATTTGTTGGTTCCTGAGCATCCAAACTGACTTGATATCATCTACAAACGTGGTTAGGCTGTTATTGACTAAAGATAAGGCCAAATCACTTGTTCTCATCCAAATAACCGCTTTCGAAGCCCTATAAATACAAGCTTAGGGCCTCCTTTTAGCGGGGGGCGATTGATTATCAAGACGAGGAGGTGCTGCCGGATTGTGGAGTCAAAGGAGCACGAATTTCAGCGAGGGTTGACAGATCTTGGCGAGTTCTTCGGCATAAAGAAGGAGAGTTCGAGAGATCCGACGCCCGTTCCCGTCCGTCCCTTGAGATTAGGCTTGGTCTTAATCTCGAGAAGAGCCCTGATTTCGCTTGGTCGATCTCAGCGCTTCAAATCAAATACTTCCTCGGCGAAGGCGAAGCTCTGCCAAATTTTTCATCAACCGGATCCAGATCTAAGGCGGTCCACGGATAAACCCCGGCACAGGCAAAGATCCCACGCAAGCAGAAGACCGATAAACGATCTCTGCGTTGTACAAATCACAGTGGGAGTGTTGACTTGTACAAATCACTCAGTAGGGGTTCTTAGTGTCAAGTGATAAGGACTTAACACGAAGGGGTTTGATAATTCGTCAAAGATTTACAGATGATAATTCCAAGCATTATATCCGGACTCTAACCATGAAAGTGTTGAGTGCACGAACATAGCGAAAGTTTGAATGGATTAAACAGGAAAGAATTTTGGTGGTCCCACCATCAATTAGTCTGATCGGTGGGGGACTCTGTGTTGGGAGACTATGAGTCGTCAAACACCAGTGAGAGTTTTGTGAGGGAAAATTGATCTTGGTTAAACTGGTATTTGAGGTTAAACTGCTCCCTGATACTCCAATTGGTATATGAGTCTAAACTGTTTCCTACCATTGACGGGAAGTTCCAGGAGATTTTTTATATGTAATATTCTTAAGGATGACCCGATCATGTAACCGAATGCAATGATAAACCCAGTTTTGTGAAGAAGCTGGGGGTGGATGATTCATGTAACGGGGAGTTCCCGGAAGAATACTATATGTAATTTTCTTAGGGATAACCCGATTATTACAAACAAAGTGATAAACACTAAACCCCCATTGTGAATTCCGAACACTCTTTTGCTGAGATGAAATTCGATCACTTCATTGGATCAATTTTCCCTCACAAAACTCTCACTGGTGTTTGACGACTCATAGTCTCCCACCACAGAGTCCCCCACCGATCAGACTAATTGATGGTGAGACCACCAAAATTCTTTCTTGTTTAATCCATTCAAACTTTCGCTATGTTCGTGCACTCAACACTTTCATGGTTAGAGTCCGGATATAATGCTTGGAATTATCATCTGTAAATCTTTGACGAATTATCAAACCCCTTCGTGTTAAGTCCTTATCGCAACGATCTCTGCGTTTGTTTTGACGAGAGTTGTAACTTTTTGTTTTCATTGTGTAAAAGTCTTATAAAAAGACAATCTTTTTTATTTCGTTGTAACGACTAAAGTTGTAATGAATACCGCAATGAATACAACAATTTTCGACGCAAACATTCACAAAATAGAAAAGTTAATCTTTTTATAAGATCTCCTTACACAATGAAAGTAAAAAAAAGTTTATAACTTTATCAAACAAACGCAGAGATCGTTTATCGGTCTTCTGCTTGCGTGGGATCTTTGCCTGTGCCGGGGTTTATCCGTGGACCGCCTTAGATCTGGATCCGGTTGATGAAAAATTCGGCAGAGTTTCGTCTTCACCGAGGAAGTATTTGATTTGAAGCGCTGAGATCGACCAAGCGAAATCAGGGCTCTTCTCGAGATTAAGACCAAGCCTAATCTCAAGGGACGGGAACGGGCGTCGGATCTCTCGAACTCTCCTTCTTTATGCCGAAGAACTCGCCAAGATCTGTCAACCCTCGCTGAAATTCGTGCTCCTTTGACTCCACAATCCGGCAGCACCTCCTCGTCTTGATAATCAATCGCCCCCTCTGAAAGGAGGCCCTATGCTTGTATTTATAGGGCTTCGGAAGCGGTTATTTGGATGAGAACAAGTGATTTGGCCTTATCTTTAGTCAATAACAGCCTAACCACGTTTGTAGATGATATCAAGTCAGTTTGGATGCTCAGGAACCAACAA